CCCCCCCCCCAATCATCATTGTAAATGTAACAGATTTTATCAACCTCTTGTTCATGACTGGAGTTCAAACTATGGCTATGACAGTTCCAATTAATTTTATTTTAATTTAATACATGGCACTCCATTGTCCCTTTGGACAATATTGAAAACAATTATTAAATAATTATGCATTTTAGATTAGCTCTTATTAAGCATTTATGCACTACAGGCTACCATGTATATGTGCAAAAACCTTAATGTGATTTGATGTACTCAAAGAAAATGCACTTTTGTCAATGAACTTCTACAACTACGGACTGTAAATTCACAAAGGCATTGGGGAACAAACTACAGGCATGTTGCTACAATCCACTTTATAAATTTGGGGAACTGTAATCCCATTATAACAGGTAATCCAAATGGTATTTCTTAAAACAAAATAAATTACACTTGCACCAGATACCAAGAAGCTAACAGCTCCTAAAATGCCAATCAACGGCTTATCAGATAGGCAGGATAAACTGGAAATGCACCAGGCTTCTCACACTACGTTAGTATAACCAACAAGGGGACATAATACCAAGATTTGGATATAGACCAAGTCCGGGAATTTCCTCTGTGCTGTCAGCAACTCTACTTTCCCAGTGTTTCAAAACACAGCCATTATCACCATTTCACTGTAATAAAGGTCACAGGAAACCAGAAGACCCCTTAGAAATCACCTACCAGCCTTTATTTTTTGCTAGCCACAACAGCATTTCAACTGCAAACGCACAAGAACTACAGTTGTTCAAATGGCCACTAACTCCTAAAGAAAGTTCTCTTAGCGTTTTTAACAAAAGAGGACGACAAAAAAGGATAAAACAGAATTAAGATTGCCAGGTGATGATTCATACCCTTCCAGAACATCAAGTTCAATCACACACACACTTCTGAAGACCAGGCAGAGTTAATATACCCTGCAGAGCAACCTCTGCTTTCTGAACACTGCCGCCGAATGCCTATGACATGCTTCTCTCTGGATACTGCAAATCACTCAGAAAATAGGATCTGTCATGTGGCTACTTTTAAGAACAGCCCAATGCCTTTTCTTTGCTAATGCAAAACTTTGTATTTAACTTACAGAATAAAGTTATTTCCAATAGCTCACAAAACAAACTCCCTGACCCCACTCTGGAGAAAGGGCATGATTCCTGCTCAGCTTTACACCCCCTTCACATGTATAGGTAGCTTCCCAGCTAACATATGCTTTCACTTAAATATGTATGCCATTTTCAGATCCACCTCACTGTCAACAACCCTCTGGGGTTTAAGGCCTGTGAACACTGCTGCTAACACAACCCACAGAAAATGGATCATCCTGGATCACTCCTGACATTCTTCTCTTCCCTTCATCACACACCTAACCCCACCATCTCACCTCACAATTGACACCTGGACAAGCTGCTCAACTAATTCCTCCACTAATCACCTAAATGAGGTGACATGCATACAGATAACCCCTAACTCCAGGGGACAGAATGAAAACTGTACTGACTTGTACTTTAGTGCCACTGCAAGAGTGATGTTATAGCTGTGATGGTCCAGAAATTATGAGGCAAGTCTTGGATTTGAAAGCTTGTCTAACTTTATCCCTATGACATGGCTGGTCCAATAAAAGCCATCACTGTAAAAAATAAATCCCTGCCCCTTGCTGGTACTTAAACATAATTTCTGACTTTTCAGAGGCCTGGCTCTAAACTACACACTTGGGAAGGGCACCAGAGCCTTAAGTCCTTGTTAACCAAGGTTTTTATTTTTGGCTATTTATTTTTAGTTATTTAACATAATTTCTGACTTTTCAGAGGCCTGACTGAACTCCGTTTAGGAAGAGCACCAGACATCTGCAAGGAGCTTCAGATCCTTGTTAATAAAGGTTTTACTTTCAGTTATTTAAGCAACACTCTAATAAATCCCTGGCCCCAGGCCAGGGGCCGAATCCTACTTCCACGGGAGACAAAAGGCCTGTGCCCGTTTGTTGGCTTTTGGGGCCTGCAGTGGAAACAAGGCCGACCCACGGGTGAGGTTTATTTTTTGCACCACCTGTACAAGGAAAACCTCTCAGCACCCACCCAACCCGCTGAGGCGCGTCAGGGGCTGGGCCTGCGCAGCGAAGGGGGCTCAAGGCGGTGTGTTGCCGCCCAGCGCCCTGAGGCTCCAGCCTGACCCCATGCCTAAGGCAGCAGACACTAGGCCGGGCCACGCGCTCTGCGGCCGCGCCCGCGCAGGCGCGAACGCCGTTTCCACGAAACCACCCGCTTGCCTTGTCCCTCGCAGAGGGCACTGGGACTGCGCATGCGCAAAGGCCCGTTGCCGCACGTAAACCAGCCGACCGCGCAGGCGCAACAGCTCCGCTGCGAGTCCCCCGGGGCAGACGCAGACACGGCGCATGCGCCCCGGCGAGCGCTACGTGCGAACGTAGAATTCGCGCAGGATGTGAGCCTGCGCAGGACTAGCGGGGCTGCGTCTCGCGCCTGCGCAGAGCGCGGCCGCGGGGGCTTGTGGGATACTGCGGCCCAGGCAGGCTGGTGAGGCAGGCGGCAGTTGCTACTCGGCGGCGGGCGTTTTTTGTGCGCGGGGCCCGGGCCCGCGGCCGGCGGGAAGCGGCCAGAGGCTGCCCGGTCCCTAACGCGCCCCTCCCCCCGATGTGTTTATAGCGCTGGAGCGGGCGGCAGCGCGATGGCTTCGAGCAGCGGCACCGACGTGATCCAGGTCACCAACGTCTCCCCTAGCGCCAGCTCCGAGCAGATGCGGACGCTCTTCGGCTTCTTGGGCAAGATCGAGGAGCTTCGCCTCTTCCCCCCCGAGTGAGTGCGGCCGCCGTCCCGCGAAACGTGGCTCCTCCCCTCCGGGCCCGCGGCAGAATGCTCCCCCGCGCCCCCCCCACCCCCCTGT